TGTTACTAAATTGAAAGATACACGAAGCAATTGAATATAATTTTTATATCGGGTTGTCCAGAAAGTTCGTGCCAATTTTGAAGAAAAATTCAAAGGCACATTTGAAGTTTGATATATTGGACTGTCTGGAAAGTCCATGCTGATATTTAGTAGGCAGTACGGGTCTGAATATGTCGGAATGTTTGAAAACAAACAACATGTGTACATTCTTTGAAAGGTGCAAAGGTTGTGGAACAAAATGGTACATATATAATTCAATAAATATGCATCAATATTCAAATATGCCTTTGAAATTTTTTTAAAAATAGGCATGAACTTTCCGGCCAACCAAATATATTTATTGAACTATATAAATAACATTTTGTTCCACGATTTTTCCACCCTTTAAGGGATGCACCCATGTTGATTGTTTTCAACCATTCCAATATAAACAGACGTGTACCACCTACCAAAAGTCGGCACGGACTTTCCAGACAAACTAATATTCTATGTAAGTATTTATAATCGTTTGTTTATTTACACTAAGAAAGTGTTAATAACGAAACATGTTTTGAAAGTTTGACACGCGACAAAGTGGAGTTGCTAATAGTTGTAGGTTAGATGGTACAATTCTCTCTTTTATGGGGTGACTAATTTGGTATAATATCAGAGAAGAATACGGTTGTGTATTTTCAGTTTTTTCAAGAAAAATATTAAGTACTACTTGTTCGACAAAAATATTGTGGTATCGTGTTTATTAGACAATATAACAATTTGAGTTAACCTCGTGTTGCATTGGCTAATCGAAACATTAAAATTCATCGAACAAAATTTCCGTACAAAATGTTTCTGGTACGTTACCTATCAAACCTTATTTTTCTGAAAACATTATGTACGCATAAATTAATTTCTATATTCATCTCCTGATTTCTCGATTACTCCAAAATTGTGTCCCCAGTGGGTGTAAACTCTTAGTTACGCTACTGATGAAACCGTCTGCCGTGACTAATTCGTAGTCCGAAATCAAATGAAACGAAACTCGTATATTCAAATTTCATTTGACATAATTCTTCCTCCTAAGACTCGAAATAATTTAAATTTTATTTTAGAAAGCGTTCCTTTTTATACTCGCGATAGTTTCGATTATATTTGGATAGTTATTCTCTTTCGATAGTCTCGACTTTTTGAATTTGTACGGTAATGACATTAGGCGGGAAAATAGCGACGTGACAGGATAGGTTAGTTAGAAAAGAATGGAAAACGTGTCGTTTTGCGAAGTGTATTATATATTATTCTTTGGATTAATATTTTTATTCGGAAGAGTCCAAATCGAGGTTGAATTATTTATATATAATATTATTATTTCGACAATATTCGCATCGATTTTTGTCTATCGAAGTATTTCTGTGGTTTCTTTTAATTTCTTTTTGGAAAATATGCCAGTCGATACCGTTATTGACGTCTATTTTTAAATCGCGTCATCTTAAAAGTCTCAATAAGTTTTCTCAAAGTCCGCCGCTGACTCACCTGTTCTCTCTGCGCGTTTAAAACACGCTTAAAAGGCAAATGAGGTGATTAATGTGTCTACGTGTAACAGTTGGAAATAAATAAATCGTTCTCGACAATGATATGACGATATTTCCAGATAGATAAAACGCGATCGGTATCGAACGTTTAGACTTTGTCCAGAAATTGATACTTTCGCGATAATATTTATAATGAAAACCTGTTTTTGCTCTACCGTTAATAATTAATCTTTCTCGGGCTGTTTTTCGCGGTTGCACACTCCAACAGTTGTAAAATGAATTGCAAGAAAACTAATTCGCTAATTAACATGTTGAGCCGCATTATTAAGTCTGTATTAACATTGATCCTGTAGCTTATGCAAAACAAATAGCAAATTTAAATAGCAAGTTTTATGCAAAACGGATAGCAAATTTATCCTGGTACATTGTATGATTTATATATTTATTGTATACGTTATTTGCACGTTCAGAATATTTGAATTGCATTAAGGGGGTATTCTGAATTAGGAGGACTTAATAAAGCGGTTTATCGTGGATTTTTTTTGGATGGAAAAAAATAATTAATTCTATCGAAATTTTTATCCTATTTTCATATATATTTGAGTAGTCTGTACAAATTGTTTCAACAAGAAATATTCAAATTGAGTCGACTGTGACGCACATTTGTAGGGCACGTCACAATTAAAACCTCCTATCGGCGGGAAAGATGCAGATCGTAATTTTGGTTTGACACAAAAAAAGAAAACCAAAAGAAATTTTCATTTTCATACATTTTTCTTCTATGTGAACTAAGGAAAACCCGGAAAAATGGTGAAATGTGAAATTACTCCAAGTTTGAAAAAAAGAACGAGTTCTTTGAATGGAAAAATCACTTCAACTTGATAAAAAAGTTGATTAAAATTTTTTTGTATGAATTTTTTTAGTTCACATAGAAACAAAATGTATAAAAATGCAAATTTCTTTTGTTTTTTTTTTGTGTCAAACCAAAATTACTACCTGCATCTTTCCGGCCGATAGAAGGTTTTAATTACGAGGTGCTCTACAAATGTGCGTCACACTTAATTTGAATATTTCTTGGTGAAAAAATTTGTACAGACTACTCAAACATGTATGAAAACAGGATAAAAAGTTCGATAGAATTAATTATTCGTTTTCCATCCTAAAAAAAATTCACGAAAAGCCGCTTTTTTAGACCTCCTAATTCAGGATACCCCCTTAAAACTGTATTGTATCCCCATGTTCATCATAATAAGTCGAACAAGAACACCACTAGCAGAGTGCTCGATGATGGTCCATTGTGAAAAGTGATCGACTGATGATCCAATGGATCCCCAAGTTCTAATCCCCTGTGCCTTACTTTTCAAAAGACTTCCTAAATATCACTTCTCTTCATTTATAAAATATTTCCGAGCCCCCGCATCCTGAAAAAAGTGCCAATTAAAGGTTCGATGACGTAATTAGCACATTCCTAATTTCCTACCCAGCATTCCAATGACACGCATTGGAAAAATTCCCGGGACAAATTGCCTCGCTATCGCGATCCGTCATATCCCGGATCGGCGGAGGCTAGTTTCACGAGGCTTTCGAAAGCGCGCCAACGGTCGCCGCGATTATCGGCAAAGTGCATCTGCGCTAAGTGTATCTAAGTACATCGAACTATCCCGCTAAGTATCTCGGGATACTCGTTTCGCGTTTCCATCGGTTGGCACTCGGGTCGAGGAAAATCACGGCGTGTTCCCGCCCCTCTTTGTCTTTGTCCGTTAATCTTGATCGTCTTCGCGCTTCGCGACGACTTCGTAGTAACTTTGCATTGGCAATTCAATCATCGGGGCGTGCTATCGTCGACCGATCGACTCGCAACCTGGCGCGTGCAATCGGACACGTATATCTGAGAAACTATACGCGCGCCTAATCGACGCTGATAACGTCACGACCGGCGGATTTATCTGTATTAGTTCTCGGATAATTTCTGCTTCTATTTACCTTCTCGTTGTCTATCCTCTACGTACCATTAACTCGTGGCCTTTCACAATGTAACAATTATGGTTACATCGCACGCAAATTTTTCATTAAAACGCGCGGTTAATATACCGGTGTATTCGAATAATTTCTTCTGAATTATCATATTCGAATAGAGCGAGATTTTTCTTAAATAGAAATCGCTGGCTACTCCGCTTTCGAGTAACCCTGGCGGCCATATTGGTTCTCGAAAGCGGAGTTGGCGCGGGAACTCCCGCGCGATTTATCCGTAATTCAAACTGCGAGGATAGCGATGAAACTGTAAATGCGATGCCTGGAGTCGAGAAAATGTAGAGAGTCCGCGAGGTCTATGCAAATGAATAATTTAACCTATTTTTGCCCGCGATCTGATAAACGCGATTTCGAAATTAAAGGATTTAATTCGAAGCGAACAATAATATAATCGTCGAGCGGGTTCGCGTTGGATTACGGGCACAATAGAGAAAGCGGAAGAGATTAATGGAAACGGAGAGTGAAAATTATAATAAATTGCGATAATAAGAAGAAAGGAGGCGCCAGATGGGTAGATAGTCACGGAGATGAATAGAGAGAAAGAGAGATGGAGAGAGGAGAACATTTGCATATTATGTCTTGATACGCGGGTTCCGGGAATGCAAATGAGGCGGTTAAGAAAACTAGTAGGCAAGTAGCTTAGACAATACCGGCGAAACTATTTGTGCGGGGTAAGGAGAGTCACGGTACGAAAATAACCTCGCGAATTTAAAAGTCGAGGAAAATTTCGTGGCGCAATAACAGAGACGGTATTCCTTGCTATGAACTAGGAATTCAGGCTTAAACATTCACGATCATATATCGAGGTAAACAAAATGTAAACAATGTGCAAGATTATAAAAAAGATTGAAAGTAAAGTTCATGTTATAATATTTGCAGAATAAAATAAATTCCTATTTAGGTTCAATTTTTGTAGGCACTAATGATTGCCAATAACAATATCGATAACTGTTAGCAACACCATCAACTTTAAATATAAAAGTAAATGGCATACAAGTTGTCTTGTAGTTTATTTAGAAATATAAAATTATTTAGTACCACGTGAAATATTTTTGTATTCAATTTAAGGGGTCTTTAAGGGGTAAAACCACTCTAGAGGCAGAAAAAAAGACCTAAATTTGACAATTTATTTTGGGAGTTTTGGGACAAATGGAATAGAATTTCTTTTCAGAGGGTTTATTAAACACATATCGAAGAATGAAAAACAATTTTTTTATTGTCATTTTCATACAAAATGGCGGCGACAGAGGCCGTCGTTGAAAACAGCTTTTTTGAGAACATCGCCACGGGAGGACGGATTTCTTGGCATCTATGAGTCATGGAACAATAACTAAAGAAAATGTATGATCTATATACAATTGACTT